GTGTGTGTGTGTGTGTGTGTGTGTGTGTGTGTGTGTGTGTGTGTGTGTGTGTGTGCAGGATGTGTGAAGATGAGAGAGCAAAGGGTGACAGACAGAAGTACACGAGTGGTGCTGAAGCTAATAGAAGCTCTGAGTCCTGCTGCATGAAACACAAATGATAGTTCTTCACATCATTCTGGAAGTGTCGGTGTTTTACTGGAGGCAAATAAAAAGCCACCCTGACACTGGTAGTATCACGTCTGCTGAGATAAACTACATGACAGTTACTAACGCCCAGCTGCTTGGCTTATTAGCAGCTGTGAGGAGGAGAGAATGGCCCGGTTGGCTCACTGTCATTTCTCAAGTCAGAGGCAGACGCCCTTTTGTCTCATGTCTGCCTCTTCTGTCTTCACCTCTTTTCTCAAGCCTTTCTGTGTGCATCAGGGCTAAACTACTCCGGGGGCCACAGTTACTGCAGGAAACGGCTCAGGGGCCGAACATCTAGCATATAAGTCATTATGTAAATAAACCAAGTATTACAAAGATCTGTTACCTTTAAAATAGTTTATTTTGCTGCATTTAATCATAAATACAACAGACAGAACACTATGTAATAAAAGTAGTGATAATAAAACCATATCAAAAACAAAAAGAACACATTATGCCTCTTATTTAACACAAATAATATTTTGACATCTCCGACTTGCCAACCTTTTAAACCAGTTTTATTTTTACTTTCATAGTTTTATCTTCAACTGCTTGTAGTTTTAACCATCTTAGATTTTCATAGAATTGGTTTAAACCAGCTTCTAGCCAAGATTCTGATGTTTCTGTAGATATTACACGTCTACGTCTAACTAAAATAATTTAAAGTAATTAAAGTAGAAGAGCGGGGTGGTTGGGATGAACGAACCAATCGGCAGGCCAAACTTTGGCTGTCAGATGAATAGCCCTGGTGTCCCTGTTACCTTCAAATAGCCAGTACCAGGATAGGACTAATCGTTGTGCAGAAGAAGCGATTGCTTCTGACTTTAAAAACTGTTATAACCCAATTAATTTTACATACTCATTTAAAATTTTATATATTTGTATAAAGAACTTAATCCAATAAAATACTTTGTTAGTAACTCATTTGTATTTGTTGTATTATGGTTACATAAAATCAAGTGTTTAAAATGTTTTTTCCTTTATTTTAGGCTGAAAGCTCTTCATTCTCAGATTTTTCTGCAACCTTTACTCCAGCTACACAAAGTGAGTTTGTAAACGTTTGAATTCTACAAAACAATGCATTCAGACCTCTGTTAATCATTTTCTGCACATTATTCTAATATTGCTAAAGACAGAGTAAAGTGTTTGTAGATTCATCAATTCATAACAAATCAGTCAAATAACAAATACTTATGCTGATAAACTCACACGTTATTGCTTGAATAAATGATTTGTTGTTTTGCTAAAAGTTTGACAGTTTAAAACATGTGTTCTCAGAGCTGTGTGTGAGAGAGAAACTCTGTGAAGGTGAGGATGCTGGGAAACTAGGCAGCCTGAGCAGAACGCTGCTGTCTTCACCGCCCTCTGCTCCTCCTCCTCCTCCGGTTGTGTTCAGGCTGCCATCGGCAGGTGGGAGGAAAAAACAAATCATGTCATGTTGTCCTTATGTTTTTGAAACAAAAAGTGATTTTTTTTTAATTTATTGAAAAATATTTATCTCCACAGCTACGTTCCTGTCTGCCTTTGAAGCTCGTCGGCTCACTTCCACTCAGAACGAGCCTCGTGGTGGAAGAAATGTAAATTATGTGAATATCCCCCTTGGCCTCCAAAAAGCTCTGACTGCAGGGCTCCTGTACACGGAGCTGGACCTGCAGAGACACGCTTCAGCTCCGGTGTCCAGTTCTTACAGCGTCGTGGGAGGCGACTCCCTGCAGCTCTACAAACCTGGTAAGACGAGTGGAAATAGACAAAAAAAAGCATTTTTCTGTGTTTTCCAGGCTTTTGGCTCAGCCTCTCCCACCTTCATCCTTTAATGAATGTGAAACACGTGACTGGATTCATCAGGGATCGTTAGTAAATGTCAGGCTGGAGACAGCAGAAGTGAAATATGAAACATCTGTTTCTTTATGCAGCTGCTGCTTGATTTATTCACTTTTCTTTCTGCTCCACTGCTATCCTCAAAGCTGCCTGCATGTTCTTATCATTAAGTCAAAATAAACCAGCATTGAAACCAACTTATTCATTCGTTAATGTAGATTATGGCATATACAGAATTAAAAAAAGTTATTTGAAACATTTAATTTGTTTTTGTTTCAGTGCCTAATTTAAATAAAAATAGACGTTTGCAAAGTTAAAATAAAGCAATTTATTACAGTGAAAAGGCAATTTACAACAGTTGAAACTTGATAAAATGCAAAGACGTGATTAGAAAAAGCAACATTTAATTACATGTGATAAAAAAGATGAACAACAAAACATTTCTAATCAGTTTTCTGAATCTCAGTTTAACAGATCACAGCAGGTTTTTTTTACTACTCTGTCAGGAAAATATATAAAATCTCCCCATTCCCCCCCAGCAGAAGCGGACTCCATCAGGTACGCCCACCTCGACATGGCTGCCATGGAAACAGCTCAGAGAGTGAGGGCGGAGCCTGTTCAGGGCAGGAAGGACAGGCTGACTCAGCTGGAGAGCAGGTGGCGAGGGCCACCCAACTGACTCTGCCACACCGAACTGGACGATCCTTCAGAGGAGGTTTCACTGCAGGCTCTGTCCTCCTGTTAGCTCACAGATCACTGCTGCACTTAAACACACACACAGTTTTACCAGGACACACAAGGTCCTGCAACAATCCATTCCACTGAAACTGAAACACAGGACTGTGGGAGGTCTTTGTGCTGCTGTCGTCTAACTTGTTAGAGAACGTTTGACTTCACTAGTGTTTTCCAGCTGTTCACTCCTGAAATGCATGGCACTTACAAATGTTGAGTTAGGAATTTTAAAGAAATGTTTTTATTTGTTCAGATCATTAAAAAAATATTCATACCACGTTTTGTTGTTACAACCACAAACTTCAAAATAATAATTACTCACGATTTTATGTCATAGACCAGTGGTCTGCAACCTTTGTGATCAACAGAGCCATTTCTGCTACTTGACGTACCAATAAAACATGTCCAGAGCCACAAAACAAGCTACAAATGTCATTATCAACTGGTGGTCCATGGGCCTTCTTGAGGCCTTTTCGGGAACCTTTACAGCCATTGGAGGTGACATTATAAAACTAAAAAATGTATTGTGAATTTTATTATTTACTATTAGTTTTACATATCAGGACAAATGAAAATATATTCATTAAACAAGGAACATGCTGTTTATAATTTATACTGAATTTCATAAAAAACTAGTAAAACTGAACTATTCAGGCATATTATGTAGTCTTTAACTTATTCAAAGTTAATTCTGATGGATTTGAGAGAAAGATCATAAAAATAAGTTGTCTTATTTAAATGCACAACAGGCTAGCATGAGCTAATCAACATGTTTTAATTTTTGCATTAGTACTGATCACACATTTGCATACAAATTGAATTCCGTTGTGGGTATAAAAAACTAACAAAATATTATTCTGTTATGTTTGGCCACATTTTCAAAGATCCACTGCAGAGAGACCAAAGAGCTGCAGGTTGCAGACCCCTGTCATAGACCAACAAAGCAGTGTGTAATTCTGTAAGCTGAATGAAGATGACAAAGCCGAGAACCACAGTGACAAGACATTCTGGAGACTCCCTCATGAATGTTCGCCAACATATGGAGCTGTAACGATGCATTTACTGACAGCCAGTGTTTAGGGTTACAGCAGGATCTGATCTCACAATGAGATTAAGCCCTCCTGGATGCACTGACACCTTACAGAGCCACCACTCACCCAGCTATCATTCCACATCAGAGCAAAGCTTTCGATTGAAATAAGCAGCTTAGAGTTAGATCCCCCTGTGCAAATTGCATTAATCAAAGCCCATGTGGCCCGAGCAGGACATGGCTGACTAATCAGCCAGCCAGCAACATTATTTATCACAGCAATCAATGCTTCTGCTGCTGGTCTGAGAGGACAGGAACTGATGAATGGAAAAGCACAATATGTGTTTCAATTTCTCTCTTCCTTCCTAACATTATTTGGACGAATTGTTCAATATTTGACACAAATTTGTTTTGCTGGCCTCACTTCTCTGCCTATTATCTCTGAGGAGGGAGAAAAAAACATGAGGGATGAGTTAAGAAAATGTAACATTGTACCAGAAAAAAGCTTTTTAATGTCACCAGAGATTTCTTTCCTCTAGAAAACCTGTAAGTATGGATTTATTTTATTTTGTTAAACCAAAACAGGAAGCATACTTTTAAACAATATTTTTTAAAGCATTAACGTAAGCTGTATATTCTCCTCGTAAAGTCAAAATTGTGATTTAATGTAGGGGATTTTAAGTTTCCTTTTCTTCTCTCCTAAAATACAAATGTATTCAGACAGTTGTAGCATCGCTGCAGTATTTCAGCTAACACACAACATGAGAGCAGCCTGTGTGATTTTGTATTTATTTGCATTTAGTGATAAACTGCTGCTCAGAAGCTAAACCACGTGTTCTTATTTCAGATTCCACACAGACATAATTAGGCTAAACGATTTGTGATAAACACAGTTCAGGGTTTTTACTGTATAAAAAAAACTAAATCTTCCATAAACACAGATTTTTTTCTTACAGACAGTAGTTGAAAAGGAATGGTTGTATTCAGCTCAGGTTGTGTAGCTTCAGAGTTTGTTGTGTTCTCAGCCTTGTCGCCATCAGGAGCCGAACCTCTCAGAGCTCATTGTGCTGCAGACCTTGGCGAGAGATCTTATTGGCCAGGTCCTGCAGGTGTTTCTTCATCTGAAATCCAACGATAGGAAGCAGATGTGATCACAACGTGTTAGAAATGCATATCTGCTCTGGCAGCTTGTTTCCTGTGGTACACTGAAAAGTTCTGTTAGTGATTTACTGAAGTCTGGGTTCTATATATGTTTTTGTAATATGTTAACAGATTAACTTGGTTTTGTATTAAAAAAATAAAGATTGTGGTTTAAAAACAAAAGTCAGTGTGAGAGTTTAAGTTTTCTAATGTTCAGTGTGAATTGCATGTAGATGTATATTTAGGTTTATGAATATATTCTGGTATTTCATAATTTAGTAGGTAAACAAACTGTTGTTTTAGTCTTTATGAAATTGTAACTTAGAATAAGGAAAAACAAGAACATATATATATAT